GAGGACTGCAATGTTGACTATCATAAAAACATGGAAGCTAATATTTTCGAGGAATGGTTTGAAAACACATTGATCCCAAATTTGGATGCATATAGTCTAATAGTTGTTAACAACGCTTCCTCATTCGCGACAGCTCATCAAAGTACCGAATAAAAATTCGAGGAAAGATGAAATACAAAGTTTTTTAGTGGATATCAATTTGTATTTTGAAGATTACTATACCAAAAACGAACTACCTGAAGTTTTACAGACAAAAACATTTGAAAAAGTGTATACCCTTGAGAGTAATTGCTGAAAAGTATGGACACACCATACTGAGACTTCCCCCCTATTTTTGTGTTTTCAATCCGATCGAGTTTATTTGAGGAAATCATCAGGCGTAAAAATAATTTTCCAAAATTTGATAAGAAGGTAATAGAGCTAATTGAAGAAGAAGTATCTAATATTACCGACGACTGGCATTGAAAAAGTAATTTTAGTTGAAAAAGACTCTATGGAGATTGGATACTTCCATATTAATGGTGAAAACAAATTCATTATTGATTTAAATGACGACAGTCATTTATGGAATAGAATATGGAAAAGAAATTATCAGGAATTATTAAAGGAGAGCTGTTGGTAGGTATGTGGCACTATATCGTTTACTTGAACTATATCTACTCGTGTCAATATAAATACATACAGTGTGATACAAAATAATTTAAATGAGAATGGAACAGTAAATGCCAACTGTATTTGTAGATGTGCTAAATTGACTTGAAAAGACTAGAATCCCAATAATCTTGAAAACTAAAATAATTATTATCCACGACGAATATAATGCATGATCCTCCACATACCGCAATCGATACTTCCCGAAAAGATGATGCAACCAACATTCAGAAAAATCATAACGAAATTTTCACTTATTAATCCATTCTGGGTGAAATAAAAAGCGAATTATTTCCAACAGGAGTACCCAGTTACAGGAAATGCTATTATTACAGAGTATATATAAAATAAATATTGAAACAAAATCCTAACGAATTTGATACGAATTCGAAGTGTTCCTTACTTGACAGTGGGACTAACAGTTCTTTTTGTGAATTTTGACTATTTTTGAAGTACCATTGTTTCGATTTTTCAACATTATTTATCAGCAGCTACGAATTATTAGAAGTATCAATCAGGAGGTACGTCAAATTTGAAAAAAAACTACATTTTATCGACCCCTTTCCGCCAATATTCTACCTCACAGGAAACGATAATTATTTGTGAAAGAAATCGTAGAGGAAACATACCGGCGAACGACTTCCTAGTTGGTACTCAAGTAAGCGTTTCGAAATATAAATACCAGGTAGTACATTCTGAAGGCAGGTACCTACTTTTTACCGAACCACCTAATCAAAATAAAATGTAGTGTTTTCGATAAAACTAAAGGAATTACAACTAAATTATATTTATTTCGATTCGAATTACACAAGGAATCGCCAATCGCTATAATGTATTCAAGCTTTCTAATATTAATGAACCGTAACAAACTCAACGAAATGTTATCTACCTGCATTTAAACGTAAACGAAAGACGTTACCCAAAAGCGCATTGGCAACACACCAGAAAATATAAGAAACTCAAAGTCACCCCAAACTCTTCCCTCATAAACTAAATGTCCATTCATAAATATTAAAACCCAGTCATTAAATGCATTCTCGAACCAAAACATTTCCAAAGTAGGCTAAGGCGACAGATTAGCAGCGCTTTTGTTCGGAATGTACCCTCCTGTCACCAGCCGAGGTAGCGCGACGTTGCCAAGTCTCCTCTCTAGGATATCAATGTCAAATACACCGACCGGATCGGCCGGCAAGAGCGGTACAAAATATGCGGAAAACCGATGTTTTCCTTATCCATCTCGAGTTGAGATGCGCACTACGATAGACGTTCGGCAGCGCAAGGTGTATGGCAGTTAAAATTGATATAAAAACGCGCCGAGATAATGACGTTCACAACAAAAATAAAATTGGGTAACATAGAAAGCGCGCACCAAATGGAAAGTGTGCAAGCGAATAGACGAGTTTTATACCTCTTAAACGGATTCATTGACAAGTGTGTGAAGCTTGAGGAATTTCGTTTTGTAATCCGAAGTGAACTTAAACTGACATTGCCATAAAAAAACATTTCAAATAACTGCGTGATTATATTTTTCGGGAGGTTTCATTTGTCACTGTTTTACATAAACAAACGGGTCATTTGAAATGCAACACACTTGGCACATTGGCGTGCGTACATATTATTCCCTCAATCAAATTTTGGAATTTGGAGAATATCGAAGAGAAAATACTCGTAGAAAGATATTTTCATTATTTATATGGATGTGTAATTAATCATTCTTCTGTATAATGGTTGAAATTCCAAAAGATTCTATTCTTTGGTTATTCAAAGATTATTCTGAAGAATGCGAAAATAAATATTTTCACATAAAGGAGCCAATTGGGATTTTGAATGACATTTACAAGTGAAAATTCCACACAAAGTTCAAAGTTCCTCCGTAGCCTCCGTAGAACAATCACGACAAATAATGAAAATCAATAGGTATAATGACAGTAGATGTACTTGCTGTACACAGCATTCTGCTGTGTTAACAATCATTGACCAAAATATCGATTCGATATATCTCTGAAAACAATTTGAATTCATTTTTATTGCAGCTCCACTACTGCCTGTCAACCACGTACTTTCTACAGTTTTTCACAACCGTAAGTTGTTCTCTGAGCAATAAAACAATGTCTCGAGAGTTTTTTGCTGTTGAAAACGCAAACCGTGAAAGTGTAGATCCAAATTCTAGATGAACACTCCCAAAATATTCAGTTTCAACTGAAGAATTAATGCAATAATGTCTACATAGTAGTGGCGAATTTACCAGCAGATTGAGTAGGCTTGACCCTAGGGCGGCAGATTTAGGGACCGATTTTTTTGCTACATCATGGAAATTAAAAATATTTTGGCATGAAGGTTGTCTGATGTCTTACAGATAGAAGTCTGCAACAAATTTTGCCGATGACTTTCCTTCTCTCACGAATTGTTAGACCGAGAGAAGCATTCCTTGGTCTGAAAAGGCTAAAAAATTATCTGAGATCGACCTTGAGCCAAGAAATTTGAATGCCTTTGCTTTTTTGCATAGAGTCAGAATTAATGAACAAGATTACTTATGACAATATCATATATGATTTTGACAACAGAAGTTATTGCAACGAACTTTTATAACTTGACTGAGTTAATTTTTTTAACTGTTCGGAAGCACAGTTAAAGAATATTTATTCACGTTTACCGAATGTAACAGGACACAGTCCCCGCTCGTAAACGATTGAGCTTTGAGTAACTCAAAAATATACCCAAAAATTATTTTACCTACGATTTCGGGGAAATTGTTGGATTGTTAAAAAATGTAGGGCATGACAATTGTAGAGGCAAGGTTGGCAAAAACTGTACAGCCTACACCTTGAAATTTTGTAAATTCGCCACTGCTATATAGCTTTTAGATAGAAGGCTGAAATCTATAGAGTCAGAGTATTCTTATAAGCCACATTTGGCAGCTTAAAATTGTAACAAGTTGAACTATTGCAGTATAAATAATCGTCGATAATTTCCACAATTTATTGAACTTAGTTTCGAAATAGTTGAAACACTAAAACTGCTTTAAAACTGAATAAAATCAGAAAGAGCGAAATGAAATCAAAGTGGGTGTGAATATTTCGAAAAAATCAGAAAAAATGAAAATAAAAATCTGCTGGCGAATGTTCCTTCAACTCCCTCTGGTTTCCATGAAAGCGACAAAACAACTTTCAGTATCTGTGACCTAGAGACTGTTGAAACCAAAACCCTGTAAAAAAATCATAGTACGCCACTGTTCAAATGAAAATAGTAACTAGACAGAGGTACCATTGTCAAAAGAGCAACTCTATTCAGGGCCACCTTTTTTCGATTCAAAAATAGAATTTACTGTTGATAGTGTTGAAGCAGGTAATCTTGGTGGTTCCCTTTTGAAAACAAACCGTCAAAGCTGTAGCTTTGTGAATCCTGGCAATAACGCTTATTAGAAATTCTAATTTCCATATGAAACATTGGCAGGTAGTCTAATCAAGGTTATTTCAATTCCATTTAGTATCACTTGAATAGTAACAAACTGTTAATACTTCCTGTCTCGTGAGCCAATATTCATCATAAACTTTACTCTAGAATGTAATGACGTGAATCGAAACTAGTTGAATTATTTTTAGACATTCTCCAAGCAACTCGGGTACAAATTATCGCTTGTTTTCGAACCCAATTAATAAAAACAAAATTGTTTATCAAACTGGCGCGGCCTACATAAACTTCAAAACAGGTGAATTAATCAAAAAGTAAAACTATTTCTTGAACAAAGTTTTCTACCAAGGTCGTTGTAATTCGTAAAAGACAAGTCTAGCAAGCGTACAAAACGGAGCGAACGTGCGATCTAGATATCCATGGAAGAGAAACATTGAAGAATCAAGTCCGTTACATTCGCCAGCTGGCAACACCGCTATACCGGACTGGCGTTCGTTCACACGAGATTATGGAACACCCGCAATGTTCTACAGGCTTTTACAGATAAAACGATTACTCTAGAGACCAACCTTATAACAAGTATATCGAACGAATACATTCGCAGGAATTTGAATGAGCACTATCGCCTACTTGAAACTGACAACTTTGACAATTTCCCCTTATCGGTTGAATGTATTCCAGTAATTAGGTAAACAAAAGTCGAGAACTTACAATATTTTTATGTACGATTGAACTGAAACAAAACAATTAATCTGACATTTCGGATTTTTTAAAATTGGATACCCATTACAGTTACCTGCATCTGTTCTAGATAACTTGACTAGCAACTTTGAAAAATCGGATGAATCGAAAGAGCGAAATCTTTAAAAATAACCTCGCCTTCTGACATACATTCAAAGTATCTACGTCGTGCAAATTTTATTGTTTAAGTTACTTACCAAGGCAAAGAAATTAGTGTGGCAGTCTTCTAAACTAGCTCCGTTAGTTTGAAAGTTTGGATGCGTCATATCTGATCCATTATTGAATGGTTTTCTTCACAACACATACAAGCAACACTGCACGTCACTTAAATCTTAAAACCACACTCGAAAACCATACATTTACCGAGATTTTCACCTTTCTATCGCAACTGCAAAATGGCGGAGACCACGAAACAACAAGCCGAACTAAAATCGGCTCGGTACAAATCCAAGACAGTTTCTCACTAAATTAGCTACGACATACGTCCCGTATACCATCTGCTCACTTTACATCCGCAAGGTGCTTACGTTACTTCAAAACGTACGTCTTTAATTACCCCGTGTGTGGATCCAGTCGAAAAATATGGCGGCGTTTCTCAGGCATGGCGCTTTCAAAACAGGACAGCATTTAACTCCAGAACACGTAAATATGCTCACTAAATTAATCCAAATATAGATAAAAACGATCTGTTTATACGTCACTGTCCGGATAAATACACGATTCATTTAGCAGTCTTGTCCAGAAACACTATTTTGTATCATGTTATCACTTGTTAGAAACCACATTTTTAACAATTTCAGGTCCTTATGAGGTCGTACGCTACGAAAGCTGAGAAGAAGAAGGGAATCGACAGAAAAGTTGGTCCAAAAATAGATTCCACAGCTCGATCTTTAGCCGCTAAAGGGTGTGTACTTTGATTTAGAACAACCTAAAGTGCGTCTGCCTCTCTACGGGTGCCATTGCTTTCTCTTAGATACCACTTTCGTACGTGAGGGGGCGACACCAACTAGAGTCAATAAATATGATACTGCGCATAGATGCAAAAAGTTGAGAGAAATTATTTTATGCATATATTTTGAATTTCTGATTTGTTTGAATTCCAATATTTTGTATTTTTACAAGGGAGTACTCTACATTAGTGAGGAATACATATATTTTCTCTGAAAATAGGAAAATAAATGACAAATATATAAAAGTATTTCGATATTGGATACAAGTTAAAACCAGTCGACATTAGAAGATATACTTTAAACAAAATGAAATATAATAAAATAATTAAAAGTCTGATATGTTGAATGCTGTAAATTTTTCATCGAGAAATTCTTTATTGAGTACCTAGTAGCTTTTTTAATCAACATTTTCTTTGAATTATTTTCAAACAGTTTTTTGTTCATATCCTTCAACTCTTCCAACTTTGTAATAGAATTTTATTCCCATATAATATTGACAATCTTGAGAAAGGTTGATTGATCCTGTCTTAATACTGAATGTTATGCTAGTGGATATTCTTTCTTGCTGTCAGATGTACAATTGTAAAAAAAATATATAGACAAGGTAATGTCATTATGCCAAGATTGGCAAAGTGGTTCCTACATGAAGATGTTTTTCATGTATTAGTCATACAGCGAATGATTTTTTTGTGCGGTGAAGAGTTTACCAGAGTTGTGTGCTTGGCCCCAGAATATAAAGCTATATGAGAGATTTGAATGTATGAGTCCAAAATATAGTAGTTTCAAGACTTCCCTCGAATGTTATGTTTTACTGCTTTACTGTAACATTTTTTTGTAAGGAACTGAACTGCCTGGGTTCCATCAACATTAAAGACTTCACTATTTTCAGCCCACCATTAGGGCTCAGAGGATTACTCATTATGAGGCTTTCTTTGTTGTTATATGTGGTATTAAATTCAAAATAATTTTGGTTAAGACAAACTGACATTACTGAAAGGACGTCCGAATGCATTATTGGATTTGTATGATTTTCTGAGAAGCATTTCATTTATAAGTTTATAAGAATCTTCTGAAGGAATGCTTGGGAATAAATTCGAAACATAGAATGAAACTAATTTAGAATTAGGTAGCATATGAAGATTGGAGATGTTTTTTATTAGTTGGTTAGAGTGTTTGATACTGAATGACGATAAAAAGTAGGTGTAGTTTTTAATGCTATTTATAAGAAATTTGGAAATTTCACATGATGGTGCTGTTAGAAATGACATCACTGGTCTAATAAGATGATGTTGTTAATGAAGTTTGATGAATGAATACCTATAGTTGTGGAGTTTGTGGATTGTACCTGATGTATTTGTATCTGTCTTCAGGTTTGATGAGTGAAATAGCTTGTTGGATGGTGTTTTTTACTATGGTTTGAAATTTATTGGTTGGGTTTTTTTGTACATCCACTACAATTGTTTTTTGTATGAACTAAAATGTATTGTTTATATAAAAGTCCTTGGTGATTGCAATAACTGTGTTCCTTTTATCTCCTTTTGTGTTTTTTGTTCGAAATTGTGGTTTTAAATAGAAATACTGTTTTTAATATCTGTTGCTCTTTGTTCAAAGTTAATATTTGGGGTTATGGATTTAAGTGCAAAAGTTCTGCAAGTTATATTTGAAATCTTTATTTGGTAACTGGATTTCTGTTTCGGAGAATTGCATATCGGTTATGTTAAAAAATCTATCACAAAACTGGTAGTCAGAAAATTGTTTTGGTTCGATTACAGGTTTTGCCGTGGTCTTCTTTACTTACAATCTTCAAACGTTTCAACTGCAACTGCGGCAGTTATCTTCAGTGGCGCGGTCGAAGTACTCTTCTTGACGTATCAACTGAAACTGAAGCTCTCATTTCTGCCATTTCATTTATGTTGCTGATTTTTCGCGCACTTTCTGTAATGGCGGGTCATACTTCCCGCGCGATTTGGGTATCATGGCTTCGTTTTGTCGCCTTTCAAATGCTGTGTGCCACATATGTTCTCTCTTTCTTTCTGTTGAAGTTCTCTTGGTGTTTGTGTATTTCTATGGCATCTAAATACATTCTTGTTGAATAATGTTTTGACGTTGCTAGCCTCTCGGTATTTTCGAAAATGTTCAGCCACTGCAGATTTCTCGGTCTGTCCCAATGGGCAACTTTTGTGCTCCACAAGACGCGTAGGAAGCCATGTCACCCAAATCGCGTGGGAAGTACATGCTAACCCGCCGCTACAGAAAGTGCGCGAAAAATCAGCACTATAAGTGACGTGGCAGAAATGAGAGTTTCAGTTCCAGTTGATACGTCAAGAAGAGTACTTCGACCGCGCCACTGAAGATGACTACCGCCGTTGCAGTTGAAACGTCAAGAAGAGTACTTCGACCGCGCCACTGAAGATGACTACCGCCGTTGCAGTTGAAACGTTTGGAGATTGTAACCAAAGAAGACCACGGCAAAACTCGGAAACCAATTAAAACATTGACGCCAGCCCTGAAATCCTACATTCCTATACATGTCTAAAAACTGTGTTGTGGGGTAATTTAATGGTTATTTAATGAGTTTATTCAATTTTTGTTTCTGCCTTATTATTTTAACTTCTTCCCTGATGTTGATGTTAAAAATGTCAAATTGTGTATGAAAACAGTACGTTTCGATTGTGCGATTTGCGTGCGTTTTCGACCGTTTTTCGTGCGTTTTCGATCGTTTTGCGTCCGTTTTCGATCGTTTAGCTTGCGTTTTCGACCGATTAGCTTGCGTTTTCGACCGTTTTTCGTGCGTTATTCGTTATCGTTTCATCGTTATTGTCGTAACCGTTTGCTTCTGTTAGTTGAATTTCCGGTGTAGTGAAAATCTCTTTGTTCATCTACTTACCACGCTTCAATTGAATCCCAAATAAGATATGGTGTTGATATTACAGAACAGAGCAGGAAGGTGTCTCTGTAAAGTCAAACCTAGGGAATCATGTAGAAATTATTTTGCTGCCAATAAGATTTCAACTGTCGTTGCACTGTTTATTCTTGAAACTGTTTGATGTATAAACATGAAACGGAGTTTGACTTCGTTTCTTCTCCTTATGCTACTCATAATAGCATCTTTAATATCATACCTAACTCAACATTAATCAAGGATTCCATTTTTTATAATGGTTGAAAATTATTCAATCACTTACCAGCGCAAATCTGACCAACGTACAATTCAAGAAAGCAGTCAGAAATTTGCTAGCTGATAGACCCTATTATTATAGCCTACAAGAGTATTTTAATGAATCATTTTATAAAAAAAAACGTGACCCATTGTACATCCTCTCGAGGAGTTGTCCTCCTAGGTTATCGTCCATCCTGTCCTTTGCAGGAAGGTCTCCTTTATATTAAATATCTTCAAGTCTTCTAAAGTAGTGCCCATTTTTAAAAAAGGTGATGAAAAAGCCATCGATAACTACAGACCAATAAGTATTATTTCAATATTCAGTACAGTGGTTGAAATTATAATTAAAATTCAGCTCTATGCCCACTTTGAGAATAATAAATTTTTCAGCAACTCACAATATGGTTTCAGAAAGTCGCGCTCAACAATAGATGCAGTGTTCGACGTCGTGTCTGGCGTGATTGAGGAACTTGAGCAGGGCAATCACACTGCGTTGATGCTTTGTGACCTGTCGATATTACATATCTCATGTGCGTCTCACATGAGATTCTATTGGAAAAATTAAACTATTACGGAGTTAGAGGTATTCCGCTTCACTTAATAAGAACCTATCTCACTAAACATCAACAAGCAGTGATGCTCAACGGAACCAGTGAGAAAACATCACATCAACTGCATCTCGAATATGAATTTTCGTTTTTGTCAAATATTCAGAATTATTCCAAAGTACTACCTATTTTATGATTCAACTTTTCAGATTTCTTCGACCACAAAAATCCTACACGCCTTCAGGAGATGTTGACGGTAGACTGAATAGTATTTTCCACTCTGTCCTGGGAACATCAAGTAACTCTACGAAATTGACAGATCTGAATCAAAAGTTTGCGCTGTTGTGTAAATGTGAAGAAGCGCTCGGTCATGGTGTACCCAATTCAATGCTGCATCATTTGGAGACCCTGAAAGATGTTAGAAATTTCTTTGCAACTCCAGTAGATACGACAACGCCTTATGACAAATTGAGGAATATTGAGCTGCCGGAAAATCTCAGTGTTCAGTTTGAATACCACAGATTCCATCCAGGTAAGCACACTGATTATTTGACTTCTGTAAATATCTCAATAATATCAGTTCCAATGAACAGAGAAAAGATTTAAACTAATATTGTTTTTTTTAATTATGCCACTATTGAATTGCATAACTCATTTTTGATTCATCAATATTTTTCATGAACTTTCCCCTCAGTAGATTTCTGCAGATGATTGTCAAATATACAACCAAGTCTACAACAAACCTTGTAAAATATGTGATGCAGTACCTAAAAATATACAACAAACAAAAAAAAACATGATCAATATTGCAGTGTCAAATAATATTTAAAAATGACCTGTCTGGTTTTTTTGTATATAATAATAATAACTCGACTTTATTCATCATAATATACAATAGAATACGTAGCATTGACAAAGATACTATTTCAATAAATGATGAATTGGCGGGGGTTCAACCTGAGATGCACCTGTTTCACCATACAGTAACTTCTTCTTCAATACTAACGTCAGTTAGTACTGAACATACCTGATTAGTACTTAACACGCCTGAAGAAGATATTGTCATATGGAAAGTTTTGGAACCTCTGTAAAACCAGAGAGTTGTCAATAACAGTTATGGCAGATGTCAGAGTTAACAGATCAATGTAGATGTGTTCAGACTGATTAAAATCAGTCAATTTATTGAAAACCCATGTTTCGTTTTCTAACAAGTATAAAACAAATATCGTATAGTGAAAAGTGTGTTGTGGTTTTGTGAAATGTCGAGTGAATATCTCACAATAGTGTCCCATTACAATGCTTTGGTTTTTGAACCTTGCATTCAGTTTATGCAAATTCAACAAAATTTCTTTCTTCTTTTTTTAGAAACCGATACTGCATTTGGAGGTGTGACAGCTTTCCCTGAGAGTTCAACCATAGTTACTGGGCTAAGATACAAGGACAAATATCCTGGATATAAAGTGTCTGAATAATTTATTTGAAGTATAAATTCAAGCAATTACATGTTAGGATTCCATTGGTTACTTTTTAATTTGTCTGTTTTATTTATGGAGGGGAATTCCCAGGATCATCTGAAAGTATAACATTGATCTTATACATTCGTTTGACCTACAAAATTCTTAATTGGATATGGATACAAGTATTTTGAATATGACTACACCAGAATAAAAGAAAATAAAGAAAGTCAACCACTAATGATGCTAAAAAATTATCTGCCAAAAATAAGAATAGGAATTTATTTTATCATGTTCTGTCCAAGGTTGTAACGGAACCGAGTCTTCTTCTCCGCATGTTTTTTAACGGAGTTTTTTCATGAAGGGACATGCCACTTGTCATCAACAAGAAATTTTCTTTACGAAAGTTGGCAAAGCAAATGTAAAAACGGAAATATACTCTTCCAAAAGTTCTGATAAATATCCTCGTTCTAAAACCCACATTTTGTTACTGCACGCAGTAAGTGGCTGTAACACGACTTCTGCGCTCTTTAAAAAAGGAAAAAGTTTTTTTAAGAATACTCGAGAAACTTTCGAATTTGCTGCAGCATTCAAAGAAAAAACTGCTCAATTGTCTTCCCCCCATCCTTACTGCATATATCAGTTTAATACCCCACATCCCAGATATTATGTTGCTTCCCACTTTTCCGTGTTACCGTTATAGTTTACATGGTCAAATATTTCCAATTCCCCATCATGAAATGAATCTCTCCAAAGAGAACGACAACCACCAGGATTTTCTCAGACTCGCCCAGCAACAATTTGCCAATCACACATATTTTTTCACCGATGGATCTAAAGATGAACGCGGTAATGTTGGCATTGGAGTTTTTTCACACAACCTAAACCATTCTGGACGATTACCATCTTTCTTTTCAATATGCTCAGCTGAAATAACAGCCATCCAAGAAGCAGTACAATATATTGTGGACAACGATCTCAAACACGCAGTTATCTTTAGCGACTCAAAAAGCGCCCTGGCAAAAATTTCCCGGTCAACTATATCGGCAAACAGTGATTACCTTTCATTACGTACAAGACAACTGATATACACAGCCGTCGCAAAGGCAAAGGGATTCAGCATACATTTGGCATGGATTCCTAGTCATTCCAACATCAAGGGTAATGATATAGCCAATATTGGAAGAAATCATCCACTCTCTAATCATCCTCAAGCAGACCATAGAGAGTTTCAAGCATTATTGAAACATAATATTTGGATAGACTGGACCAATCAATATAGCGGGGACGGACAATTCAAAGCCAAACTTTACTTTTCCTCCGTACCACAACCTTACAAAACTCCATGGTTCAAGGATCTGGCTACTTGTTCTCGTAAAGAAATTGTAAATATGTGCAGAATTATGAGCACTCATTCCCTCAATAAAGCGCATAGCGCATCTCCATAAAATTAAGATAGTTGATGATGACCGCTGCGAATGTGGGGAAATACAGACTCTCCTACATATATTCTTTGCCTGCCCTAATAATTATCATAATATACAAATACTTCATGCCTCTCTTAGCATCCCTCCTTCAACCATTCAGCCTCTTACATTCCACGATATATTTTTCAAACATATATCACTATCTAACATACAAACCATATCCAAATTCCTGATTGCATCCAATATAAAGCTGTAGTGGTCAAGACAGACATAATACTTGTGCGCATGCAGTGCTTCGCCAATCATGACCTGATCGTAGTGTCCATACACGTAACCGTAGTGTCCATACACGTAACCGTAGTGCATCACCTCACATTAGTGCTTACACTCTAGTGCAGACGGACATTGCTTGTTAACTGACCTCAACTACAGTCGAACTTTGTTTTAGCGCAAAACCAGGTGGGGTTTGGGTCCAACTCAGATTCACTTTAGTGTGGGCTCTACCTGTAGTAGCAACATGTTCCTGAAACTCCTGGCTGGATAGTTCTGGCAGCTGAAGCCATTGATGAAAAAAGAAGAAGAAGAAGTGTCAAGAGTGTCAAGTATCTGTCAAAATTAAAAATAACCTCAATACTTGATTTGAATAAATGTTTATATCCAATGTTTTCATTTTGTCACTAATGGAAAAATGGGTGGTTTCATAATATTTCTGATTATAATATGTGTTCTTTTTTTAACTGTGTCATGGTATGCATTCCTTATGGGATGGTTTCATGTTTCATTTTCAAACAATTTTTTTTCAGGATCCTCCCTATGATTATCTCTTGGCATTTTCAGAGAAAATATGACGTTTCTCTGAAAATTAAAAAAATAGGCATGCCTTACCTAAAATTATGTGATATTAGCCTTTCCAAAAATGGTTTCAGTATTGTAAGTGTTCATGTCAGATGCATTAATCAGATTATCAAACTGTGAAACATTGGTTCCTATAATCACTTTTAAAGGGATTGTGATTTTTTATCCAATATGTTTTCAGCATGTGGATGAAATCAGCATCAAAAGCAGTTTTCTGAATTCTGAATTAACAAAGCTGGTAACTTTGGTGGTTAGAGATGTAAGAATAAACAAAGATTTGAGCTCAAAAAATGTGGATGAATCAACAAAATATTCTCCCCAAACTAAAAGTGATATTGATTTTCGGGACAATAAAGTTCCTCATTTCATAACAAGTTTTGCACAAGTGAGTTGTTGATATTTTGATATTTTTTATTACCATGTTTGAATTATTTGGTTACTTTTTGGTTGAAAACCATTGCTGGACTGGTCAAGTAGTAGAAGTTGGTAAATGCTATGAGCCCTGCGCTTTTGTTGAAAAAAGCTGTAAGGGTGTCTTTTCAAGTTGTTGTTATGTCACAAGTTGTAACAATTCATATTTTGAATTTGTTACCACTAAAAACTTACAACTCGTGCACATGGATATTATGAGTAAGTATACATATAGTAATATCTACGCTCCTGTTTGAATATTGTACTGAGAATCAATTCTGAACTGCTTATGATTCCTTAAGACATGCTATTCAATAGTTAAGACTAGATATCAAATTGTTGCCCAATATGAATTCTTATGACTTCAATTTTACAAATCAAGCATTATCAAAGGATAGATAAATAATATCAACAAATTGATAAATTGATTTCAATACAAAAAGTAACCAAGTGTCTGCGAAACCTTCACTTTTTGTACTCTCAAGACAGCCATGGAATAGAAATTCAATTCTATTTTATTTCAACAGTACTTATATCATTGAAATCATTATATATGTAGATATTAAGATATATGCATGTGAATGAAAGAGAGACATTGATATGAATTAAGTATTTCAAATTCTATATTCAATATAGTGTCTTCATTGCTATGTTCTAAAACAAAAACCATTTTCTCTAGTTATTTTTTTTTGCTTCAGTTCATGGCTGTACATGTATACAACATCTCCGCAATGCTGTTGAGATCTGAAACGCCCGGTTATTTGATACATGCAACTGCATCTGAATTGCATCTGGATGGTAGCATTTTGAAAAACGCTAAATCCTTATTGGCAACCATCAATCTTATGGATGCAGAAATGAAGATTTTGAGACACGCAGAACAGGAAGTAAAAGAAACGAAGCTGGCTGAATTTAGTTTCGGCATATCCATGGAAACCATATTGGTAGCGCAGGGACCCTTATCTGTAGAGGTAGGTTTTATCTACAGATTTTGGAAACGGATAAGTAACTCATTCTTCAGTTTTGTTTCATTTAATCTCTTCTGGTATATTCACACTACAGTTGAATGTGATTATGTATCAAATCGGACAAAATTTACATAACTTGATCGATGATATCGATGAAAAAAGCTAGGGATGCATATTCAAAAAAGTAAAGTCAATGATAAAATCTAATGAACGAAACGTTGCATTGCAAATTGGTTTTTATCAGATTATAACAAATATGAAATGGTATTGAAAGCTTCTCTTCAAAAACAACCAGTGATATTCTCGATATTCAAAGACATTATTTCAGTCTCCTAAAATAGGAAACTTTTTTCCAGTTTGACCGATCTTATAGGTCTTACTGTTTTGAGGTAGCAATAGTGGGATTAGCTAAAAATGAAAAACCAAGATCAGGTGAAAAACATCTTACTCCCTGCCTCTCAAGTGAACCTGTGACTTTGTGAGAATCTGTGGCGGATACGAGACAGAAAAAAAACAACTAACCCAGCTAATGCCGCGCAGAAAGCTAAAGTAAACCCATCAGACACCTGTGCAACATCTTCTATTTGGAAGATTCGTCGCAAGTAACTTCCTATAAATAAAAAGCATAAATTAATTTCATTTGGTTGGGACAAACATCAATAGACCGATTTCGGAATACTTGCTTCTCGTCAGTGCCAGGAAAAAACATCTTACTCCCTGCCTCTCATGTGAATCTGTGACTTTGTAGGAATGTGTGGCTGATGCGAGACGGAAAAAGAACAAATAACCCAGCTAATGCCACGCAGAAAGCTAAAGTAAACCCATCGGACACCTGTGCAACATCTTCTATCTGGAAGATTCGTCGCAAATAACTTCCTATGAATAAAAAGCAGAAATTAATTTTATTTGGTTGGGAAGAACACCAATAGACCAGTTTCGGAATACTTGCTTCTCGTCAGTGCCAGGCAGGCGAACCGTTTGAGTATCTCGAACAAACAAAATGAATTCCAACTATAAAATATAGTCTCAAGCTCTATCAACTGCGCCACCTGCAGACAGAGTCGGGAAACAACTCCACAAATATATATTCCGGAGAGGTGCATATGACATGCCCATGTTCAGGTGAAAAACACCATACCTCTTGCCTCTCATGTGAACCTAAGAATTTGTATGTACATGTGGCAGAATTTCGACGGACCTACAAAGTCGTAGGTTCACATGAGGGACAACAGGTGAGGTTTTTTTCACCTGAACTTGGGCATGTCATATGCACTTCTCCAGAATATGTGTTTGTGGAGTTGTTTCCGGACTTTGTCTACAGGTGGCGCAGTGAACATCCTACTGAATGAACTGCGGATAGAGCCAGTGACTAGTTGGAATTGATTTTGTTTGTTTGAGATACTCAGACGGTTCACTCCGTTTGAGGTGAATTACCTGGTACAGACGGTATTCGTATTATGGAAGGTATTCGTAATATGGAATTCTTTTATAATGTCTTTGTTACTACCATGAAATTCATATGATGTGCTTTTTACTCCACTACAATTTGATAATTTTAAGTTGCGTAATAATTCTTCTATTAGCATTATTTACTGATTTTGCTGATCTATAAGTGACCTGGTTTACAATGTCATCATACTCTGTTGAACTCTGCATACTCATTGGTAGTAAGTTTATGAACATGGCCTTGACATATGCACCACCATATTGCTACAATGGTCCTCTTGAGCATTGTTTATGTATTTATTAAAATATATAGATCCAAGAAATGGTGAATTTTTACTTCTTTTTGAAAACNCATAAACTGATGTCATTAATATATATAAGAAATAGTATGACAACAACCATTATCAACTTATTCGAATATTCTCAATTTATGAATATTCTAGCTCTCAATATGTGTATGTTGTGATTTTGAGTTCCAATAGACATTTATTTTTCAGAAACTTGATATAAACATGTCCCACAGTAGAGCAGTTATAAATGGCGGTTTTTATAACTTGGCACAAAGTTCTAAAAGTGAAAAAATACCAAAGATGTCTAGATATAACTCGAGTAGCTGTGAAGATGATATTTTTGAAAGACTGAAACCTATTATTCCAAAGGTGAGCTATGACCTATTTTGGTATGTTATAACTCTCCTTTGATTTCAGAAATGTTCACTGTATATAGACGAAACGTCTCTCACTGGAGTCAAAGACGACAGTCAAATAGAGTACAGCTCTTCTTTGAAATCATTGGCTTTGAATTGTAGATCAGTACCTATCGATGATAAGGTGGTATCAGATGATTCATCTGTTCTTTTCAATTTCTATATGTCCGATTTGTTTTTGCAAAATAGTAAAGAAAAACTATTGGAACTCAAACATCTCAATATCGATGCAAAGGTAAGAAACAAGATGAAAAATTTAGGGGACACAAATAGTTTGTTGAAATTGTATTCTATTTTTAGTTGATACAGAACTCATTGAACATTTACCTCCAACAAAACTGTTTACTAGTGACCTACGATCATAATTTGATTTACAAGTGGGTCTCTACGAATTTTCCTAGAAGCCATCAAGAAATATCTCCTATGATATTGGAAGATACTGAGAAAAGAAGGGATAGGTTGAGGATATATCGATCTTCGGCTTTCGAAAAAATCATAGAGAAACTGAACATAAGTTTTTGTGCTGAACTATTTCAGGTGCTGGCAGTCATTAGATTGAAAAATCAAGACTCGTCAATTGGTTTCAATAGAGTAAGACTAATGCTGGATCAGTCTCCGGAAAAAAGAGGCAAGTAAATAGAAAATTCATGTAAACACCTAATAAGAGTAATGAATGACTTCGATGAAGTCGACGAAGGCCGTTTTTTTCTGGTCCTGATTGGCGAAGGTTTTTTATATCAACTTCATTTATGTGAAAAAAATATTGGTATATCCTCTACATTTCCAGGATCTACATTCAAGGCTTATATACCCAATCTTTTTCTGAGAGATCGTCATTGGGCCATGGAATTTTCAGTTGATTCTCTATGGTGGTCTTTCAAAGAATGGAACCAAGATACTAACGTTTCCAAAGTGACGCACATCTGGGGTACTCCTCTATATTTGGGAATGGGAGTAATCAAACTCAGTACTTCAGCAAACCAGGAAGTGAGGTTAGAATCACTTCTTGATACTATTCAGTTGGAATGGTCTTTGGAATTCGCAGATTACGTATTACTAGCACTTAGGTAAGTGAAGGGGTAGACTTTCTTTTGGAAGTTGCTTTCAACACAGTTTCCAGAAATAAGAAATTATCATTTCCAGATGTTTTAAACAATATGGGAGTATCAAACCAAAGCACTCCTCTCCAAAAAAAGAAATAGGAGACCGAGATCTCCAAAATCTGTCTTGTCATTTAGTAGTAACTCATTTTAACTTGTTTATGCAAGCACAAAACATAGGTAAGGACTCTCGTAACATATTTCTTTTGAAAATCTTTTATGTTTGTCAACTGATTTTTGACTTTTTTGATTCTAAAGCAAATTCAAATCCAAAATAGAGTGGATGTAAACATTGACATGCCTTACGCACGTGATATTGAAAATCCCATGAATTGGCCAGGGTCGTATTCAGAACCAACATCTTGTTGATCGCAAATGCTATATCATACTTAGGAAAACTTTTTTATAATAACGAGTGAAATGCACAAGTTTTGCAGTTTAACGGGAAAAATGCAGATAATATGTGTAATATNGTTTCCTGGCTGGACTCAGAGGATAGCTCACAGTGTCATCAGCAGTGTCTGTACTGGACATCTTGGAAAACAATTTTAAACAATATACTATAACGCACGCCACACAAATACGCAAACGACTGATTACAACCCTGTGCTGGTACCGAACTCGTACCAAGAAGGTGAATTCACCAATGAACGCTGCCCTTTCCATCTGACACTGGGTGATCACGTGAACATCACGCTTCGGTTTTGTTTTGTTTTACTCTATCTTGGATTTGGATAGACTTTAGTTATATATCACTCATTTTCAGAATATTTTGTTTCCCGCATAAACACAATCAGCTTAGATAAAACTATCGATGAAGTACGAAAATCAGCAAACGCCGTAAATGTGAAGTTTGAAGGCTTCAAAATATTTAGTTTGAACAGTAATGGTGATGGCTACACCTGTATCCAAACTGAGGATATTTCTAATTACAAAGTGTTTATCAACACTGCTCTTTTGGAAGTAAGAAATTTGGAAGAGAAACCCAAAGAAACAACTCTTACTTTGTTAGAAACAGTTGAAACTCATTGGTCAACGAATTTCCATTTGAAGTCTCTGCTCTTGGTCAGAGATGTGATGGAGTTTCTGTCAGGTGTGAAAAAAGAGCTGGACATTGTAGACGGTGGAGCAGTAAAACAAAAATGTTTCAACACTTTGAACATTTTTGGAAAATTTGAATTTCATATTGAGATTAGTCCGAGCCACAATGCAAAAATAGCTTTAGGTAAGGTATAATTTCATTACTAGATGTATTTTTCATAGATAAGAAGCTGGTGTATGGGGACTGTTCAAAAAATAAGGTCGATATTCAAATTTCGCGGGCTATGTTGGTACACGCGTCTTGAACATATGTTCACAGTTTCGTCTGTTAAGCATATTCGTTTGTTGGTGAGAGGCATAAAAGTTGAATCTGTTTTGGTCTTCTGCTGCCGGAAAAAAGAATTTGCATCAAATTTTGTGAAAAAATTGAAATGAGGTGGTCAAAAAACACTTGAAATGTTGATAGTGGCATACGGTGACTGTACTCTGAGTCAGAAAAATGTTTACAAGTGGTACAAGCTCTTCACGGAAGCAGCGGCGGCTCGTCAGAGATGGCAAGGGAGGCTTAGCCTCCCCATAAAATTTGAGGCTATTCATCGCAATAAGTTAAAAGATATTGACAAATACTTTACCATTAATGTTTTATATAAAAACATAATATGCCCGAAAAACACTATCACTCACTACGTAGTACGTACCACACTGTATCCTGCATCAACAAACCTCAAACACACCGCCCACCCACGAACGAATAACGAAGAAACCATCAACCCAAAATAATAAATGCCATACGTTGCAAGGGAGCCAAGCCTCCAACCGCTTTAAAGAACACAAGCTCCGCGAGACCGATCCAGCCAGCGACATACGTCCCGATTTGTAATTTTAGTTGCAGAAATTATAGCGTTAGAGGAGGCTAGCCTCCAGTTGTACGACTGCGTTTGTTTTTGATTTAATTGTTCGGACGGGATGTCGTGACGGACTGAAAAATATTTCGGTAAATCGTTTTAGTGTTTCTNAACACTTCTCTACTGATATCGATAGACGAACAAAAAATATTTACTTTGAAGGGAATTGATGTCCACAGAATCAAATCACATCCTGTCATCGAAGCTGAACGAAACGATGCCGGAAGCTTCAACTTGAAATTCAATAAAACATACGGAATTTTTATCGATCTATTCACAGCAGTATTTCCACATGAACATAACTTTGCAGAAGCCATTCAAAATCAGTTGGTGTCTGTATTCAAATGGCTGAAAATCATTCACAACATCAAGAAAGATAAAACCATCCCACAGAGTTTACCCGGTGATTTACTGATCAATGTAAGTTATGTATTTATCGTTTTCAATCTCTAAGGAAGTTAAGAGGGTGCTTCAGTTTCTTCCATTGAATTGTACTACATGATACTTGATGAAAATCCATAAGGTTTTTAAGAAACACTTTATTTTGAGATATTCACTACACAATTTCATAAAACTATAACACTTGTTTCGCTATACAATAGCTTCTTCAGCTTCTTCAGCTTTCAAATTATCAACATGAAACTATCAAACCAAAGCAAAAAAAGAAATAGGAGGCCGAGATCTCCAAAACCTGTCTTGTCATTTGGTAGTAACTCATTCTGAATTATGTATACAAGCACAAAATCCAGGTACGGACTCTCTTCAACAAGAATATACAAAAAGAACTGACAACAAGAAAAGAATAGACAACAACAAGAGTATACACACGCCTGAAGAAGCTGTAGTATAGCGAAACACGTGTCACGATTTTGTAAATTGTGTAGTGAAAACCTCAGAATAAAGTGTTGCTTGTATTTTTCTGAAGGCTTGTGAATGGTTTTTTAAATCTGTTTACATTGTGGGATTCTATTTTATGTACCGATGTAATTACACTAGCCAAAAATATAGGAAAATATAAGATCGAAACAAGAAAAAAACAATATATTTTGAGGATAACAGACTTTATTTACAATACACATGAAAAAACATTCTTTTGTGCATAACCTTTTTGCAAATGTTGACTTTCGTTTATATGTTTCATCGTTTTCCCTCATAAGGAACCAACAAAATCCCCCATTATTGCTGCATCCCATCTGCCTTGGTAACGTTGCTCCATTGTCAGTATACCTTTGTGGAACCTTTTCCCTTGTTCGTCACTGACAGCACCCAAATTTTCTGGAAAAAAATTCAAATGGGAGTACAAGAAATGGATTTTGAGAGACATGCGGCACCCCATTCTGCAGTAGTTTTCAAGTAGTTCTTCTTCGAGTGTTTCGTAATTTTCTGTTTTCTTGTTCCCTAAAAACTCCGAAACATTTCTTTTGAAAGAACTCCACTCAGCTAATTCAACATTACTTAATTTTTCTTCAAACTGTTGATCACTTAGTAGTTTTCTAATTTGTGGTCCAACAAATATACCTTTCTTGAACTTTGCATCACTTAAGTTTGGAAAAACGTGTTTAAGATATTTGAACGCATCACCTTCTTTGTCGAATGCTTTTACAAAATTTCTCATTAACCCCAGTTTAATGTTTAATGGAGATAACAAAACGTTTTTGGGATTAACAAGAGCTATATTCTCGCGGAGGCCATTCTTTTACTTGATAATGGCTCTGTGTTGCCCTACTATTTCAAAGGCAAAGCTAAGTTTTGCTGTTAACTTCGTAAATACGCCCTGAAGACCTAGTAATAGACCTATGATTTTTAGGTCACCATATATTTGCCACTTATAGGTATTATAACTTATTGCATTTAGAATACGTGTTACAATTTCGTGTGTTTCCTTCATGGCACCTGCGTGAGCAAGAGGAATAGAGGGTCTTCTGTTACCATTATGGAGCAGAACGGCTTTTAAACTTGTTTTAGACGAATCTATAAATAAACGCCATTCGTCCGGGTTATGTGCAAATCCTAATTTTTCCATCACACCATTTGGATTTACACAAACACACATTTTATCATGCATAGTAAAAAACTAGGTTAGCCCATGGTTACGGTTCCTAAATATCGTAACTTTGGTTTTAGGGCCTAGTAAATTCCATTGTTGTAATCTAGACTGTAATAGTTCAGCATTCTCTTTGGACAAGTGGAGGTCCCGAACTAGGTCATTTAATTCAGGTTGTTCAATTAAATGGGGTGTTCTTCCTTCATTCTCGGGAAAACAAGGACCGTCTTTTTCTGGGAACCAGGCTGGTCATCATACATTTCCAAATCTTCCTCCCAATTTGCCGGGGGTGTTGGAACTGGTAAACTTTCTCCATGAAGAACCGGCCTTCTTTTATACCCGGATATACAATTTTGTGTTTGCTCTTTCTTGAAAAAACCAGACACGTTTGTCATGCAAAACTAACAGTCGTTGTGTAGATTTGTTGTTTCTCTCCAAATCATTGGAACTGCAAAAGGCATAGAAGAGCGTTTGCCATTCAACCAGTTACTTAGATTTGCGGCACAGGTTTGGCAACATACGTGAGTAGTCAATCTGCTACTTTTATAGCGGTTCCGTATTTGTGGCATTTTCTGGAAATTTCGAGTATCGGAGGTTCGAAAAGTGGCGTTACAAGTCTCATATACAGCGGAAGCAGTTTCGAATAGTAGGGCAGAGCCGCTGTGTTGTCAGATTTTAAACAATTTCCTCAATTTAGTTGAAAAGCAAATTTGGAATGTCGTGTTTGTTAAATTTTTGTGAAAAAAAAATTATAGCTCAAAAATCTTACGTGTTGGGGGAAATTTGTACTATAATTTTCGCATTTAGAGACCAAAAATTAACAAAGACCTGCCTTTGGCATTACACTCGTAAATTGGCTGTAAACTAGTGTTATCACTGTAAAGTTTAAATTTGTTATGGTCAGTCAACAAACGTGTTGCTTGTTGTTCGATATTTAAATTACATCAAAATATATTCAACTGAAAATAAAATTAGATAGATACATTTACTTTTTCCAATAATGAAAAGAATCATACTGAGACAGAGGTTATGCATTTTTTTCCCATATATACTAGATTTGTGTTTTTATAATTTTTAAACCACTTCAATAAATGCTTGTTGAAAGGTGAGTTCTCAAGAGTTTTTCTAGAGCTTCTCTGCTCACACACTTGACGCTAAGATCATAAATAATATAATTCTCAATTCACTTTGCCTTTTGCTAGTTCTGAATTTGCATTATGAAAATATTAATTTGTCTGAAACCACAGGTTAAAGAATTTTTGTTCGAAATGAGCGATGATCCATTCGAAGTAAAACTGAGGGACAATTTCGAACTGCTGGAGGACGAATATAATGAGAGTTTGAAAAGGCAGAAGATGCTCAGAGACAAGGTAAATAGATGTATGATATTAACTTATTTCAGAAGTTTTGTCCGTTTTAATATCGTGTGTTTTTGTAGCTCCATATCAAAATAAATATTTATTTTGCTGTGTCGTTTAGATATACTGATTGCTAGAGAATTTTGTATTCTATACATTGATGATGTTCATTTTTTACAAATTTTAATTTTTTTCCCTCTTCTCGGCTTATTACTTTATGATGTCGTTATGCCACTTTCGGCCAATCTGTCTCTACGACTACAAATTGAACCAATGCGCTGCTGAAACAGCCCAAAAAATTAACCAGACTGTTCAACAACGTTGATTTGCGAAATTTCGCAAACAATATATTTGTCTCTGACACTAATCAATTTTTTTTGTGTCAGATTGGTGACCTCTTGAAAACCCATCTTCACATGCCCGCTGGAAAAGTTGAAGAGTTATATGCCACTCTCAAGAAAAAAAATGCAGAAATATATGTTCAGAGATCAAAACTGATGTATAAGGCGTCTCCCCAAAGAACTCGTTTATTTGCTTGGAGTATGGCTAATCTGGAATTACTGGTAAGTCATTCTGATGAAGATATTTGTTTCTAGTATATGTGGGTTTTCATAGCTGGCATCTAATGAATCATCTGTTGTTTTCGCGTTTCTTAGCCGTGATTTGCAAGTTTTTAGGCCTGATGTTGCATCTGCAATCGCGACAGACATTGCCCAAAGCAGTGGTGTCCATGTTCAAGCTCTCTTCCAGAAGGTTGGTTAATTTTATTCTCCATCAAGCTTCTTTTCGTGGTTCCAATGTAGAAAGAGTCACATCTCTCAAATTGTCAGATTACTGGAATATACACTTTTTAGCAAGTAATTCACTCACCCTACCTTAATCTGACGCGCCCGAGAATTTCTGATGATTAATTTTTTTTACCAATCTGATCCTTTATCCGTCACAGGCGGCCTTATATATGGGGCTCATATTTGGTGGAGGTACTTAACCGGGTACAAGGTATCCCCCTGTATATTAATCTGCCGCGCTTTAGAAAATCCCGAAATCCCCGCTTGGGCTCCCTTATTACTAACACCAACATATTTCCGAAGGAATGGGAAGTTCTACAAAAAAGAGGAAGGAGTGGCAATGGGCAGTCCACTTGAACTGTGAGGAAAAGAGGTTGGGTATCAATAAAGTATGGGTGTCGGCATTTCATAGTACACAGATTTTTCCGTCAACTCAAGAAGAGTTGGACCGAGCAGGGATGAAAACGAGCAGAATTCGAGGACCACTTTCAAGGTAGATCACCTCAACTATTGCCGCATCGCCTTTGATAAGTCTAACGCAGTTGCAGACGAAACGTCAGACCTAAAAAACCTTCTAAGAATCCCGAAAATATAAGATGTTTTGATATATATTTCTGTTTCTTTGAACACAATTTTGAAATTAGAAGAAATGATTACTACAATGAAATATATTCCAGTTGGAAATGTTTTTATCGTAGATTCTAGCTGATCCTTCCATACACGGGCCAGAAAGAGTTATAAATGTAATGAGAGAAATAGATAGCGCCAGTCCTTGGCCCGAAGAACCGATGGAGTTTTCTACTTTGTGGTGTCGTGTAATTTCCTTCAGATGTGCTGAATGGAAATTTCAACTTAGAGATTTCCCGCAACCATTGATGCACATCAAGAAATGTTATATATGCGGTCAGTTGGTTGGTGCTGAACAAGTTGCTCCGAAAAGAGGTATTTCTAAAATTCTAAATTATTTTACCCATTCTTCATATAACGCTTCTTTTATATTTGACAAATATAATTGTCCGTTTCGATGTCATGTGTTTTTGTAGTTCCATATCTCAATAAATATCTTTTGTACTCTATACATTGATGATGTTGATTTTTTTTCTGACTAAATTTTTTGCTCTTTAGCTTATAACTGTATGACGTCGTTAAGTGATTTCCGGCAAATTTTTCTCTATGAGAAACAGCCTGAAAAATTAATCGGGCATTTGGCAATGATAGTGTTAATGAACGCACTGTTCGACGTTGCTTTGCGAAATTTCGTTCCGGAGATTTCAGCCTCGAAGAGTGAGAGAAAAGACAGGAGAGAGGAGAGAAAATATAGGAGAGAGAAAAGACAGGAGAGAGAAAAAACAGGAGAGATGGAAAAGACAAGACAGGAGAGACGAGAGAAAATATAGGAGAGAGAAAAGACAGGAGAGAGAAAAGACAGACAGGAGAGAGAAAATACAGACAGGAGAGAGAAAATACAGACAGGAGAGAGAAAATACAGACAGGAGAGAGAAAATACAGACAGGAGAGAGGAGAGAAAAGTCGGGAGAGAGAGAGAGAGAGAGAAAAGACAGGAGAGATGGAACAGACAAGAGAGGGGAGAGATAGAAAAGACAAGAGAGGAGAGAGAAAAAGACAAGAGAGATAGAAAAGACAAGACAGGAGAGAGAAAAAACAGGAGAGATGGAAAAGACAAGACAGGACAGAGAAAAGACAGGAGAGGAAAAAAAACAGACAGGAGAGAGAAAAAACAGACAGGACAGAGAAAATACAGATAGGAGAGAGAGAAAAGACAGGAGAGAGAAGAGAAAAGTCGGGAGAGGGAGAGAGAGAGAAGACATGATAGATAGAAAAGACAAGACAGGAGATAGAAAAGACAAGACAGGAGAGAGAAAAGACAGGATAGAGAGAAAAGACAGGATAGAGAGAAAAGACAGACAGGAGATAGAGAAAAGACAGACAGGAGAGAGAAAAGACAGACAGGAGAGAGAAAAACAGGAAAGAGAAAAGACAAGAGAGAGGAGAGAAAATGTAGGAGAGAGAAAAGACAGGAGAGAGAAAAAACAGAGAGGAGAGAGAAAAAACAGACAAGACAGAGAAAATACAGATAGGAGAGAGATAAAAGACAGAAGAGAGAAGAGAAAAGTCGGGAGGGAGAGAGAGAGAGAAAAGACAGGAGAGAGAAGAGAAATGTCGGGAGGGAGAGAGAGAAGACAGGAGATATAGAAAAAACAAGACAGGAGAGAAAAAGACAGAAGAGAGAGAAAATACAGAAAGGAGAGAAAAAAGACATGAAAGACAAAAGACAGGAGAAAGAGAAAAGACAGACAGGAGAGAGAAAGACAGGAAAGAGAAAAGACAAGAGAGAGGAGAGAAAATATAGAAGAGAGGAGAGAAAATATAGGCGAGAGAAAAGACAGGAGAGAAAAAAAACAGACAGGAGAAAAAAAAACAGACAGGATAGAGAAAATACAGATAGGAGAGACAGAAAAGACAGAAGAGAGAAGAGAAAAGTCGGGAGGGAAAGAGAGAGAGAAAAGACAAGAGAGGGAAGAGAAATGTCGGGAGGGAGGGAGAGAGAGAGAGAGAGAAGACAGGAGATATAGAAAAGACAAGACAGGAGAGAAAAAAGACAGGAGAGATAGAAATGAGAGAGAAAAGACATGAGAGACAAAAGACAGGAGATTGAGAAAAGACAGACAGGAGAGAGAAAAGACAGACAGGAGAGAGAAAAGACAGACATGAGATTGAGAAAAGACATACAGGAGAGGGAATTACAAGAGAGAGGAGGGAAAATGCAGGAAAGATAAAAGACAGAAGAGAGAAAAGACAGGGAGATGAGAGAAAAGACAGGCAGGATGAAGAAAATACAGGAGAGAGAAAAGTCAGGGAGAGAGAAAAGATAGGGAGAGGAGAGAAAAGACAGGAGAGAGAAAAGACAGATAGGAAAAGACAGGATAGAGAAAAGTCGGGAGAGAGAAAAGACAAGAGAGAGGAGAGAAAATATAGGAAAGAGAAAAGACAGGAGAGAAAAAAAACAGACAGGAGAGAGAAAAGACAGACAGGAAAGAGAAAAAGCAAGAGAGAGGAGAGAAAATATAGGAGAGAGATAAGGCAGGAAAGAGAAAACATGAGAGAGAAAATACAGGGAGAGGAGAGAAAATACAGACAGGAGAGAGAAAAGACAAGACGATAGAGAAAATAGACAGGAGAATGAGAGAGAAAGAAGACGGGAGAGTGAGAGAAGACAGAAGAGGGAGAGAGAGAAAACAGAAGAGAAAGAAGGGATGGGCGAGAATATCATGTCATGAAATAAATTTGTATACAGATTGAAGGGCATGAATATATAGAACCATTGCAAACGCATCACGAACTTCATCATGTAGAACATTATTTAAAAAATTGAAAATTTTGCCCCTACCTGGTCTTTACATTCTGTAACTTTTGTTGTATATTCATAAAAATAAAGAGGATTTTAAACAAAACCAATCTTTTCATGAATATAATACACGCATCAGAAATCATTTTCACATACCAAAAACACGTTTATCTTTACGTCTAAACTCGTTTGAGATTTTGGGACTGAGAATATAATGCACTTCCGGAGTTTTTCAAAATTATAACCAAGGAGCAAGTATTCAAATATAAAATAAAACAACTACTTTCTGAAATTAGCCCCTATACAATCGATGAATTTTTTTCTTATCTGCATTGATTGCGGATTGTTTTAGTACCTGTTGTTATTTATGAATGTGTATATTATATACTTATATTTTATATCTGTATTTCATATGTACTGACTTGTCCAATTGCTTTTTTTAAGCTCTTTCAATGGATCAATAAATATTTGATTTGATTTTGATTTGAATCTATAAACTGCCACGTCAATATTTTCCTCAATGTTATAAAAAATGATACATTGATTTAAATTTTTCAAGGCTTAGTGTCTTCAGAGACGACTGAAGATGATTATAAAAATGTAAGTTTGGTGAATGTTTCTTACTAATTCTTGATTCATGTCTGGGCAGCTTCAATAAACTTGCGGATCTTGTTCCATATGTATGAATATCACAATGCCTGTCAAATTCATTAACGTTTTCATGAATCTCTATTAAAACTAAATCTGTTTAAAATCTGTTTTTCCGTTAATCAGCTGTCTCCCCTGTACGAAGGACAACTCTCAGAAGTTGAGAAACTTGTGCGAGCTAAAGACTAATGGGGTCTTACCTTTTAACGTGTGATTCCTAACACGGTAAAAATAAATATATAATGTTGGAAGTGGCATTATGTCAAGTTGAATAAAAAAAGGATCACAGTGCTTTTTGTCACCTGCTTTGACTATCATTCTTATGGCCTTTTTCTGGCACTTAACATCACTAATGGAATTACCCGAGTGACCTCAAATTAGAATACCATTTAATATAACTGAGTGGAATAATCCATAGTAGGATCTTTTCAGCATCGTCAAGCTGACCATATTATTCAATCGTCTCTGAAAAGTCATCAATAATTTGAATATTGCATAATTTATTCATCTTTTAATTATACAATTTGATTTCATAACAATTGCTTCATTACATTCCTTTTTCTTCTACCACCGAAGAAATCCATTATATCTGATGCGTATCCAATCAGATCCAAAATGAAACCAATTACGTTGGCTATCAAATCATCGGTGAAGGATAAATTGTTTGCCTTTCTGATGCCTTGACCCTAGAACAGAAAAAACAGAAGGTTTTATGTGCCAACTGGAAGGCATCCTGAATGGTTGAGATGACATTTTTGTTGTTTGAGCAAAACGATTTAAGTCACTTTTTCTCCAACCCTTGAAGCAGTTCTGATATGCACTTTTTGGCATGCCCTTGAGCTCTCTCAAAACGCCGTCCTTTCATGGGTCTCTTCAAACTTGGAAAAAGTCGTAGGGGTCCAAATCTGGTGAATACGGAGGCTGAGGCATGATTACGGTGTTGTTTTTGGCGCATAACTTCCAGATGATATGCTTTATTGAATGATAATAATGACGTTTTTTCAACAATTCCGGTATACCCGGAAGTTGGTACTAACTTACTCAATTCAAATGTAACAACCTGTATATATTTACATTTTTTTAATACCTGGCGAAATTCAAATGTGAGTTTATGTAAAACACCCCATACCAAAAATGCACCATTCTCGAGATATTCATTCGTTTACTCAAAAAAAAATAGGTATTCGATTCTCGAGTGATTCCATAAAATTAAAAGTTTGATAGAATCTGTTTTTTCGGTAACCAGCTGTCGCACCCCTACAAACGACAACCCTTAGAAGTCGAAACTTCTGCGACCTAAGGAATAACGAGGTCTTACCTTTTAACGTGTGATTTCTAACACGGGTTGGACGATAGCAAGTGAAAATATATCGTTCAGCCTGCAGCTTGAACCACCGACCAACACGGCGGTCAATTTGAGTGAGCGAACAAAGCACCCACGTCGAACCGACCGGCTACCGACCGAATACATAAATAATATATTATTGATTCATTAAAATACTTCATTTCATAACATAACGGAATCGATGACCAACTCTGAAGATATAAAATGGGCCAAAACTTTTTTCAAATTGAACATCCTGGAATAGTCCAGTCATCATCTGAAGACGATTGTGGATACTAACAATCGAAACGTCGTGAAGGAACTTGGATTGAGATCTTTTAATTTTCATTTCATTTCAATTGTTCAATTTTCAATTTTTTTGGGTTTTTGTTCAATATAATTGTTATGTCTAGCCATTCATTTCAATTTTGAATTTTATTTAACTTTTCAGGGATTTCAAATCATATTATATCATATTAGACAATGGAACTAATGGAATTTAGAGTTAATGAATGCCTGGGAGTTAACAGAAATATTTTCTAACAAATTCTGAAATAGTTTTTTGTATTTTGTGTGAAGAGGCAATGCAACATTTTTGAATTTTTGCTTTTTAACGAAACATTCGGAATAAATATTTTTTAATTCATTATCTATTCATCTGAAATCCTATCTTGAATAAAAACCACGACAACAAGTTAATAGCTGTGTTAATTTCTGTGACTACAATATTTATAATTTCTCTGATTGTGAATTATGGACAGAACTGTGTTGAAGCTATTTTCCGGGTTTTTTGGCCGTAGTCTGCAGGTTTTTATGTCTGACGTTTCGTCTACTACTGCGGTAGACATCATCAAATGAGAATCCTAAACGTTGTAAACTGCCAAATGAAACTCTCACAATAAAGTGTTATTTGAATACATTTATAGTAGAAACATTTTCTTCGGTCTGTTTTTCAAGAAAATAATACTAGAACAATTTTTCATCCTTATATTTGTATCATTACATAATTCAAACGAATATCTCTTACAATTAAGATCCAAGAGGGAAATTTTACTCTTGTGAACTACATTCATTCTTCAAATTTCTGTTTAGTCTTGTTTTTGTTGGATGGACTGTTGATTGTTTCTAATAAATTGAAGAGTTGCATCCAGTACTTGTCCATAACTCGTTGGCAAACTAGGAATTTGTGGTAAATGAAACTGGGAAATTTGTGGAATTTGATATTGGGGAATATTTGGGAACTGATATTGAGGTATTTGTGAAAATTGGAATTGAGGATGTTGGTATTGGGGTGTCTGCGGAAAGTTGTACTGAGGTTTTTGTGGAAATGGGTATTGAGATAATGAAAATTGTGGCGGTTTTGTTGATAGACCTGAAGCAAGATATGTCTAAAAAAAGAAAGTAGTTCAGAATCCTCAAACACTATTAAAAGTTATTTATCGATGCATACTTACAGGTAATGTGATTATTAGTCACTAAATGTTATATTGGGTTTTTCAAAAGTTTTTCCAGTTTTAATCTCATGTGTTTTTGTAGCTCCATATCTCAATAAAGTGCTACCAAAAAATCAATAATAATGTTGACGAACGCACTGTTCGACAGTGATTTGCGGTTTCGTTCTGGAGATTCAAGCCTTGTAGATGAGCTCGTAGTGGTCTACCTACATCCACTACTAGGATTTGAGGACTCTGGTGGAGACTGAACCATCACTAACTATGCAGGGGATGACGAAAAAACTGGGCGTCAGCTCCCATGCAGTTTTTGCTCGTTTAAAACGTATTGGAAAGGTCAAAAAGTGTTCAGTGTGCCAGAAAAGTGTACCACGACGAAAATTAAACGAATTTAGTGTCGAAGTTCTGCCTCATCCACCATATTCGCCAATCTGGACCAAAACGGCCTTCAACGACTTCATCAAATCCCGAGTACATGATTTTTATGGTGAAGGAACTGATCGACTTGTGTTACCTTGGCAAAAGTGTACTGATTCGAATAGCGCTTATCTCGATTGAATTGAATAAGTGTTCACTGTTATATTACAGTTCAGGGTAGACTCATAAAAACGGAGAAAACTAATAAAACAACCCAATATTTATATGAGAACAAAAACATGCACATAAAATGGTTATATCTTGAATCAATCGGAGAGTTATAGGAGAGTTTTTTAGCCATTGATAGTGCTCTTTATGTATGAGGTACTGTGGGATACTGTAATAGATTTTGGTGAAATTAAGATTTGGAAATCTAAGTCATAAATTTTAACTTATCGAAAAAGAAAAATCTGTCAATTTTTGTGATGCATTGTTTGGATCCTTTGTTGTACTAATGAATATTACTAGAGTTTAATCCCAACACCTAAACGTTATTTTTAACACCTCGACACGTGTTTCGATAACCAAGTGATCATCTTCAAGAGGAAGATTAAACTGAAAATGATCACTATGTGATTGAAACACGTTTTGCTGGGGTTGACAGACATCTGCTCCCTCAGCCACCAACTGTGGCGTTTTCTTTTTCATTTAAATATTTTTGTTTTGATGATGGTGTTGATTTTGACAGATTTCCTTTCAATTACCTATCAAATGCACCCTAAAAAAATATATTAATGAATCATTCCTGACCTAATACAAGTTTTCAAGAGTACCAACTTGATCTTCATCGTGTTGGGAATCGCATGGTAACAAGTAAGATCCCTTCTTTCGGATGCGAAACCAGAACAAAATTGCTCTCTCTCTCTCTCAACGCGCGTTTCGCCAAACAAATTAGCATCATCAGCAGTTGACTAAGGCTACGCAATTTTGTTCTGGTGAGGGAGAAGTGTTTTCAACTCGTTTTACACGGAGTTTCCAAATTCCACTTTGCACCTCTACTAAGATCTAAATGTTTCACAAAAAAGTGTTAATTTGAAACGTTAGATGATGAACTTGAATAAAAACACCGCTATTTTCACTCACCCTTTTAGTGACAGCGCCTGTTCTTTGCTGACAATTCACCTCCCTCGCAATTTCAGCAACTAATAAAGTTATCAGGAACGTTGAATATATTTTTGGGGCCATAGTCGCCATTGAAATATTGAGGTTGTTGCAGAGAAGCTAACAGCGTAAGCATCGATGCAGTAATAATTGCACTGAAACAGTTGAACATTTAGTAATCGTTTTTTCATGACCTTGCGTGTGATCTACATAAAGGCATGGTGTATTTGATATCTTTAGTGATCTTGATGAGATTTCGTTGCCTTTTTTGAAAAATAATCGGTATGCTTTTATGGATGTTATTATGATATTCATTGTGGCGTGTCATTATTTCAAAGCACTAATTATATTCTAATTAGGATGCGCTGTGTTATTATTGTAAGTGATTATTGAATTCCTCTGTACTAGTTCCCCGTTGAACCATGGAATCATCCTAGAAATTATCCATATAATATTCATTTTTATATATAGGCGGTTTAGTCTATGAGCAANGAACGATACTGTAACGCTGGAGCTAACTGTTGAGACCATTCTTTCAGCAATAGCCTTTTTATAAGAAATATATTAATCGATGTAACCCTAAGCTACTGTTGAACACTTCCATCCTCCGTGTTTCTTAATATCCGTTATATTTGCTCCTGATTCTGCTAGCAAAGAAGCAGAAGACCTTCTGAAACGGTGCAGAAACTCAGCAATGGTAGAGAGCATTTTCCCAAACGTGTTTATACCAACTGAGTTGGCACTACATTTATAATTTGAGTATTTCAGAAAGAAATGTTGATGATTGAAGGGCACAATACAACTTATTTATAAGATAGTCAATGTTTTTTTCAACAATGCAGAAAGAACGACCTATTTTCGTTTTTGTATTTGGAATTTGAACAATCAATGATTCATCCATTAATTTAATGTCTTCTATTGATAAATGGCACAGCTCTTCACGCCGGCAGGCTTCATATATTCCGAAAATAGTAGCAACTTTTATCATCAAATATTTTTTCATCTGGCGCCTCATTTAGAAACCTCTGGACTTGTTCAAACGTAAGAGTTTTTGATTTTTTGGTTGTATGTAATTTTTTCGCTTTAAGAATGCTATTACCTTGAAATATTTGTTTGTATTAACACCATTTTTAATGAGCGCTGTCTCTTTTAGCTCCCGAAATATACGGGAGGAAACAAAAATTTGGTAATTCAATTTATGCTGTATGTTTTTTATTTGAAGGCATATAGGAATTCTGATAGTTTTCTGAACAGCATTTTACAGCTTATTGAAAATTTTCACTCATTTCAGCAATTCGAACAGTCGAAGTCCATCTTGGTGAACCATTCGAACCAGTTGTTATTGAGAGAGGAATGCTGCCATTGAAGTTTTACCACGATTTCAATTGCGAAGTTGAATATTTCAGTTACGCATTTGGTCCGTGTTGGGAACCTGTGATTGCGCAATGCAATTTGAGTGAGTATTATCAAGGTTTATATCCCCAGTACACCAAGTTTAATCAGTAAAAATGTGTGCAAGACCATAATTTTTGAAATTTCGCTAATAATTTGATATAATACCGAGACTGTAGTTCTGAATTCATCATATAACGTTTTGTCTAGGTTTTAACCAAATTTCTGCACCATCTCGCGATCCATCTCCGGTATTGACATTCTGGGATAAAATGAGACTTTTACTACATGGTAGATTAACCATGGTCGTCGAACAACTCACAGTATTGTTACATGCTTCGTTGGATCCTTATAATACCACAGAAGAAATGGCTCTAACTTGGGAGAAGGTCATAATGGACTGGACTAATGGTAAAATCAATTCATTATTATTATTATACAGATACAGTACACTCCTTAATCGAAAGTTAACAAAAGCAATCAATAACAAGCTTACCTACCATTTCCAATTCACTTACCAATTAAATCAATCAATCTAGAATCTTCCAATGTAGTTACAAGGTTTTAAATTATTTAACGTATCCATAATGTTTTAATGTAGCTATAAGTTTTTACTAAAAAAGATCACGTTTATCATAAATTTGTTTTAAATGTATATACCCATGTAACTAACTTACATCTTAGCAATACAAGAACTGTCCTTGTTTATTGTCTGATGTAACGTAATGTCCATTGTATTTTGTATTTTGAGATTACCAATAAACATTATTATTATTATTTATGAAGGTTTACATCTGCATTACTATTCTGAAATTTACTGACAATTTGATTTTCTACTTTTATTTTGAAAAACCGTATCTTTTAAAATAACATATTTAATCTGAATTGTACTCAGATACCATTTCTGACACAAACTAATGTAAAATTGAAAGAAATGTATAAACTTTATATATTGCTGTTTAGTAATTTTCCAATTTCAAAGAAAAATTTCTTGTGAGTTTGAGAGAAAGAATGCCTTAAATACATGTTTAATATCTGAATAAAGAGATTTCTCAAATATTTATATTAAAGGCAATTTACATTTTCAGCTAAATTTGTTTATAAGGGAGATTTGAACATATTTGTCCGAACTGCCTCAAAATATGACGATGTTCAACTGTTGAAAATGCCTAATTTGAAACTAATACTTGGAATCAATTGGGTTTGCCTGGGCCATCCTAATGACCACCACAGTGTCATACAGTGTGCTCCGGATAAGGTTCCAGAATATTCCAGTAATCAGGTAAGCACATGGATTCTGAAACTCGAAAATACGAGGGTGTTCTGATAAGTTTCCGACCTACAAGACTTTTCTCTTTTTGGAACCGGTTCTCCCTTTGTATTCCACTGTGTGGACTGTATTTTTGTTTCGGGCGTATAATGGTGTATCCAAGTTTCACCTAAAGTAATTAATCAGCGCCAAAACTCGTATTTATTGCACGTAAACTGTGCCAACAGAGCGTTAGAAATGTTAATTCGTTGTCTAACGCGAGCAAACGCGGCACTCAACGCGGGGACAGCTTTCTCATGCTAAATGTTGATTCAGTATGTGACAAACACGTTCTTTTAACATGTTCATAACGTCTGCTATCTCTCCCACTTTAATTTGGCGCTCGTCTAGCACCATTTGATGAACTTTGCCGATGTTTTCTTCGGTAGTTGCAGTTTTTGAACGTCCCGAACGTTCATCGTCTCCCAATATATTACGGCCACGTTTAAATTCAGCTGCCCAAAATTTCACTGTGGTAAATGATGATGCAGAGTCCCCATATACAGAATCCAACTCATCTTTGATTTGCGTAGGCATATTGCCATTTTTTTAAAAACACTCATCAACTCACTCAAACGACTGACACATAAACAACTGCGCGTTCAAAATGGTTGAAACTTTGGTGAGTCACTGTCAATAGATGAACAACGAAATTCACTAGCTTTTATTTACGAGTGCTGCTTCATGTTGAGATTGAAAACTTTCCAGACTACCCTCGTATGTTCTTATTTTGAAAAAATCCTGTTTCGTGATCACAATGATTTTATTTTCATATAAAAGGGGGTAAAATTCACCTGAAACAACTGTTTCTTATATCATAGTATACAATTTTAGAGAGAATAGTCATTTTTATGTAACCCAGCATCCTTTTCAAGAAAGAAATAGGGAAGTACTTGATTCAGAAGGACTTTTTACTTTTTTGTTTCCGCGTATTACCGACAAATCTCCCTCAGATAGTTTTTAATGTTATTCAGTATTGTTACACTTACCTACTGTGCCTCAAATTGCAATCCAGAGAAGTACTTGATTTAGAAGGACTTTTTACTTTCTTGTTTCCGCGTATTACCGTCAAATCTCCCTCAGATAGTTTTTAATGTATTGTTACACTTACCTACTGTGTCTCAAATTGCAATCCAAAATTGTATCTCTTTCGAAACCTCTTCAACATTTTATAATCATAATATTTTGAATGATTTTAATTTATTCTTCAGGTACATGACTCTTTCAGAGCTTTCAGATCGCAGAATGTGAACCTTAGTATAGTTCTGGAAACGAGACCTGTGCCCAACGAACCTAACAACTGTCCAATTTTACTTCTCTATGGCAGTACTTTGAGGTGGATTGAAAGTCTCAAACTTATTTTGTCCGGCGTGACTAGACCTACTAAACGTGGAAGAATTTTTAATAATGTCAGACCCAGAAAGATTCAACTCAGCAGGCATTACAAAAAGGTATATCGCCAATGTAACACAAAACCTTTTACTGAATTTCAGATTAATATTCGAATGTCTATCGGCTCATTAGCTCACTTCGTACCGCACATTCAACTAGACTAGCCTCCTCTGCCTGTTGCTAGTGCTTATATATCCCAATGGAAGTCTTCGAAAGCCGATGGGGTTGTTCTCGAAGGGACGCGACACCTAGAACTAACGAAAAACACAAGTAGAGTTGAGAGCGACCTTGGCCAAGTCACAGTCGACCGGTAAAGACCAGCGGCGTACGGCTTTTTTTTCAGGGGATAATTCACCTCAATATTTTGAAATATTCACTGGCATACTAAGCTTACGTACTTGTGACATATAAATGTTATTTTTTTGAACAGATGTCATTGCAGATATGAAATTAGTCTCAAGGAATAGAATATTTCGAATGAAAATTCAGGACATTCGCCTCTCCCAACCAAGCCCCAATGTCCAACGTGGTATTAGCCGTAAAGTGATAGCCTTCTGTCAGGAATGTTTCATATATGTTGAAACCTTGGGAGAGGTTAATATTTCTGATTTGTATTTGAAATATTTCAATAATTTTTATTTCAATATTCCACATCGGACATGTCAATAAACAACAGAACAAGCAATAGTAGTAACCTTGAGGAACACTTGTTTCAATATTTTATGAATTGTTTGACTGATCCATTTTATATTTTAGGTTCATTTGTTGATTGGCCTACATAAATTTCAAGTGTGTTATTGGATGTCTTTTTCAATGCAGAGAGGATCCGAACTGTTTGGAGGAAGACTTTCGTCTAGTTCAGGTTGGGTATTGTATGTTTCTTCGAATAATAGGATTATACTTTTTAAACATGACATCATGATTTGTGTTTTTCTGTTGGAAAATGGTACTTAGTTCAAAGATGATGATTTCTAATGAAAGGACTTCAGTTAATTTTGCAAATCAATATTTTTTAGTTATCCAAATAGTTATCAAGTAACATTATCAAAAATAAAACCTTCCCACGAGCCAATGTTAATAAATCATCCTTTGTTTGGGTTGTCAAATGTGGGATAAATGCTGATCTTCACAATGAAAAATTATTTGAAAACGGTTCTTTGCAGTACAACCTTACACATTCCTTGTTTTTACCGTGGATGAAGAACTACCTTGGCATAAATTTGATAAGCTGACAAAAATAAACAACGATTTTAAAACCATAAAGAGGTGGGCCGGGAAAAACTCCTTACTTTTGGCAAAAAGCCAAAATATTCTTATGGGATCATCTTTCAACTTAAGCCGTCTTGATGAGTTCCCTGTATGTATTGACAACGAGTTCATTCCTTCTGTCTCTGAAGCTAGTTGTCTTGGTGTTATTTTTGATAAGCAGCTCAAATTCTCCAATTAGTTCGGTGTCGTCGCGAAGATAACCTACCTAAGCTTTGAAAAACTACCACACTTTGCATTTGACTAACTCCATCTGCCTATTGGTAGTGCTTATATATGCCAATGGAAGTCTTCGGAGGCTGATAGGAACATTATCGAAGCGAAGCGACACCTGTAACGACCGAGAATTATAAGTAGAGTTGAGAGCGACCTTGGCCAATTCACAGGCGATTGACGAAGATCAGCGGCGGCCGGAGTTTTTTTCAGGGGATAATTTACAACATTACTTTGATTTTTCCATACAAGAATTAGACAAGCTCTTGAAGGGTTTATATCGCGATATGAATATATTATTACACCTAGAAATGAAGGTACATTTTGTAGCATACTTTGTTGTTTGCTTGAGATATGTGCAGAAAAACTGTTAATTTTTCAAACCTTACAGAACACACTTTGTCGTTGGTAAACATCGACGATGGTCTAAAGCACAGACCAAAAGCCGAATGGTCGGTGGTCTACATGAACTCCGAACTCAGCGACTTCGAAATGTGGTTGAAAAGTGCTCTACACGATGAACAAGACGTAGAAGTTCCGACGCCTCGTCAACCAGTAGAAAAATGCTTTTGTCTTTCGGTCGCCAAAGTATCTTACGGCCGTGAAACAGTCGTTCCCAGTCAAGAAAGAAATAAGGATATACCGACACACAGATTGGTTGTTCATGACTTGAGAGGGGCTTGGACGAAGAGTAATCGAAATGTGGCGTTTGCTCTCTTTGATACTTTTATGAAAACCACAGTGAGTACCGCCATGATAGATTTTATTTACTTATTTATTCCATACGCTATTCTACAGGATGAACCCAGTTACAAAATAGGAAGAAACAGTGGCATTTACAAATATGAAATTACATAATATAATTTGTGAATCTATATAAAAAAAATTAAAAACAGAACAGTCAGTTAGCTGAGAAATGTCTTTTGATTTGTATAATTTGCTAGTTGAATATATGTAGGACATGACTAACAGAATTAGAGGTATCACACATTGTTAAATTGGAGATTTTTTCACTATATTTGTACGCAGCCGAGATAAAATGTGACACTATTCCTAGATGACCGTCTAGGAACCCAAAAATTTCAACATATGTAACTGTTAAGAGCTGGTAATGATTTTGTTATGACCTTAAATAAAAAAAGAAATGAATAATATTTACGCCTTACCTCGAGACTACAAAAATTGTGAGTTTCAAGCAATTCATAATAGGGTATTTCTATAGTAGGATACGTGCCTTCAATTTTAATAGACATATATTTCAGGAAGCGCCTCTGTAGGGCTTCTAGTTGATTTATATGAACCTTATAGTAGGGACTCCACACGACAGATGCATATTCCAGCCTAGATTGAACAAAAGTGAAATAAAGTAATTTCAATGTTGAAGCTTTTTCGAAGTCTTTTGTATTTCTAACTAAGAATCCATACATGCGCTAAGCAGCTGTCAGAGTAGTGTCAATATATTAATTGAAAGATATTAATGAATCAAAAATAACACCTAGATCAGTAAGTGTGTCAGGACGCCCCAGAACTTGATTGTTTATAATGTAGTTGTGTAATGTCAAATTCGTTTTCAGTGAGTTAGACATTACATTATATTTGGATATGTTGAGACATAGATTCGCAATCATTAGAACATGTTATATTGTGATACAGTTTCAAGACATCAGCGTATAAAAGGAAATTGACATCAATCTCAGCTCCGATATCATTAATGAACATATTGAACAGTAGTAGTCCTAGGTTTGATCCTTGTGGTACACCAGACTGATGTGTGACATCAGTCTGAGACTGACAATCAATACCCTCCGCAATACATTGAGTGATTGTTACAAGATTGGTGATGGTTGAACGTCCTTTCATGAAACTGTGTTGATTGGGGCTAATAATGTTGCTAACATGACAGTAAATTGTCTTCTCGAGGAGCATCTCAAACACTTCACAAAAGTTGCATATGATAAAAATTGGTCTGTAATTTTTTGATCTCACTTTTATCTCCTTTTTTGACAATTGAGTAGACTTTCGACATTTTTCATATTGATGGTACAGTTGATGTTTTCAGGCATATATTGAGTAGAGTTGTTAGTGGTTCAACCAGAGCTGAGGCACAATCTTTAATGATGAATGCGGAAATATGATCAGGTCTCGCAGTAAATTTAGGCTTTATTTTTTTTATACTAAAACCAATAATAATTGAGAGTAGAAGTAAGCCCAGTTGACAGCAAATCGGGGGCGTGCTTATTAATTTTTGAAGTAATAGACTGTGC